TAGTATTATACCCTCATCTATATATATATATATATATATATATATATATATAAAATAGTCATTATATATGTATAATAGTCATTTATTTTATTTCAATACTATAATTAACTGTAATTAAAATGTTTACATGCTTTTTTAAATATATTTTTCTAATTATTAATTTATTTTTGTTTAATGTAGCCGAGCAGTTTTGGTGAAAATGATACAAAAGACACTGAAAAGAAAGTGAATTAAATTTTTTTTAATTTATTTTGTTGTTGTTAAGATTTATTTTTGGAGTTGTTTTCCTTTTTTTTTTTTTTTTTTTTCTTTTTTTGGTTGATATTCTGTCTCTATACGTTAAAATAAACCTACCATAAAAAGTACAGACCCTTCATTTTTTTGTGTGGTTAATGGCTGGTTGAAGTTGTGGAATGATTTATGTTTTAATTTCCTTCGTAGTGGCCACAGTCGCACAAACAGCTCTGGTTCAGACTGGTCTGCCATGATGTGGAAAGCGAGGGTTGTTTGAGCATCACAGCCACAACATTGGACAGTTTTGTTCCCACAGCTCTGGAAAATAAGTAATGTTTCCTTTTTTGGTAGAAGATTTGTAGCTTGTCCTAACGTCAAGTGAGTCATTAATATTGTTAATAGTTGTTAATACTGTTTAAGAAGTGATAAATGGGTGGAAAATAAATATTGTCATTTAGTTTTCGGCTGTACTCTGATTTGAGGATGTTGAATTCTTGAGAAAATTATTCCAGTTTGTCGTTTCCTGCAATTTTGATCCAATCATGTTCTAGGCAAGACAAGCTTGCAAACACATCAAAGTTGTGGCACATTTTGTCTCCACAGTAAGTTCATCAAAACCCGAAGATGGAAAGGATCTGTCAGGGATGAATGACAGAAACTGTGACATCATGTATTTAAATGGCACTCCACCTGCAACGGATGGAGCAACGTTTATGTCTTTCTTAAGGTGGGGTTGTGAGTGATTTGACCCGTCTTACTGGCCTGACCTCAAATGCCTGCTTGCCTTATCTCTATTGCAGAGATTATTGTTATAATAATAGTCATATCAAAAGTTTTGTGTAGACTGGAAATATTTTGTGCTTCTGTTAGGACTGCTCGATCAAGAATGACGCCAAGAAAAATCTTCTGTATTAAGATCTCATCTGTGAACCCAAAATATCTCAACGATAACATAAATGTTTAGGCTGTTGCAAGTAAAATAAAACTTCCCTTTATTGTTTTAAAACCGTATATTGACAGTTTTGATCAAGTTGCTCTCATTTTCTCCTAGTATTATTTTAACATCTCGTCTATGAAGATACAATGTATGACTTGGAGTATGAGGGAGCGATAATTCACTAAAGGTGGAAAATCCTAAAGACATTAAAGAAGCATGTATGAGCTTGCTTTAATGATATGTTGCAAAACCTTTACCAGTTCTGAACTAAAGTAGCGATTGCCATCAAAGAAAAAAGTATTTAAAAGAAATAAAATAAAACATTTCTGTTTTCTATGTTTACATTTTCTATGAAACCCCTATATAACGTATAATGCATCCTAAACTAATTCATTGTATATTGTGTGTGTGTGTGTGTGTGTGTGTGTGTGTGTGTGTGTGTGTGTGTGTGTGTGTGTGTGTGTGTGTGTGTGTGTGTGTGTGTGTGTGTGTGTGTGTGTGTGTGTGTGTGTGTGTGTGTGTGTGTGTGTGTGTGTGTGTGTGTGTGTGTGTGTGTGTGTGTGTGTGTGTGTGTGTGTGTGTGTGTGTGTGTGTGTGTGTGTGTGTGTGTGTGTGTGTGTGTGTGTGTGTGTGTGTGTGTGTGTGTGTGTGTGTGTGTGTGTGTGTGTGTGTGTGTGTGTGTGTGTGTGTGTGTGTGTGTGTGTGTGTGTGTGTGTGTGTGTGTGTGTGTGTGTGTGTGTGTGTGTGTGTGTGTGTGTGTGTGTGTGTGTGTGTGTGTGTGTGTGTGTGTGTGTGTGTGTGTGTGTGTGTGTGTGTGTGTGTGTGTGTGTGTGTGTGTGTGTGTGTTTATACTGAAATGAAGGCAGGCGGAGCTCATGACGACAGCGGGCTTCTGTTATAACTAAGCACGGGTTGTTTTGGTGACAGTCTCCTTCAGTTCATCTGCAGTTGTCCGTGAATATGGCGCTTGTTTGGAGGAATATACTCATGCTTGTGTTTGCGCACTTTGTCGGTGAGTAACTTTTAAATTTAGCATTAAATGTCTACGCGACAAAACTGGATCGTATAATCAACAAACGCTCGATGTGGCGCGTCGCGTCTTCATTTGACACGCAGTACCGCTATTCCAGCCACTTTATAAATGAAAATATTTTATTTACACATATAATGTTTGAATTAAAGACTATTCATTTGACTGGTTATGTGTTTAAATAGCTTTAACCAGCCTAATGTCTAGTTTGATGGGCACCTGTAAACTGACAGGCTGGGTCATTTAATTCAAGTAATCCTTTATTTCTAAGCAGTTTTAACAATATTAAATGCTACTGGATGATACAAAATGCATGCTGTGGATTCATATAGGCATAAAGTTAAACATTAAGTTCATAGCTATAAGTCTAGTAGGTGGAGTTGATACCCATAGAGATTTTTTTCTTTAACCACACTTTTAAAATAGATTTCCCACCACCTGGAGTCATACATTGCATAATATCTTAAAGTTACAGGTCATACATACTGCACAGTTTACATTCAAAACACTCCGTATGGATTATTCTCCTTTTCACAGATTTATCAGTAGCATCATATTGGTTACTGAAGTGATTTAATAGCAAGCATATGTTATTTTTAGTGTGACCGCCAACATGCATAATAATTAACAAAACTGTTGAGGAAAATGATATAACTGCATTCTTGCTCACCGTTATTTTTGTTGTTGAGCTGTGCTTTGAAACTGTCCATTTCAGTGTCTCAAAGACGTAGTCCCATTCGATGTGGCGAACCAACAAAATATCCTGACAAGCATCTGCTCAAAAAATATCTCCAGAAAGCAGAGTTCAATGATGGAGAAAAAGTGTTGTATACATGTGCCCTGGGTTACGAACCATCAGCAGGAAGTCGAACATCACAGTGTGTGCATGGACAATGGACAACCTTGAACATGAAATGCCAAAGTAAGATGCATCTGTTTATCTGTCTCTAAAATATCTCTTTTATTCATTAATTGTACCCCACGTTTTCATATTTTCTCATTTATTCTCTCAGAGAAGAAGTGCAATGCGCTGGGTGACATAGAGAACGGGCAATACAATCAAGAAGGGCGATCATTTGGCGATAAAGCCATTGCTGTGTGTAATGAAGGGTATTTGAATCTTTTTTTCTTTTTTTTTTAAGTCTGCAGTCCATAAATTGGTGAAAATATTGATAATAAATAGAAAAGGTAGAATAAGTGTAGAGAGTGGCTTTACTTTTTGACTTTGTTCAGCATCCATAGATTGCTCTAGATCTCCCTCTACTTAATGGTTTACTAAAGCAGGCCAATAACGTTTCCCTTTCATGATGTTAATGTATTTTTTGCTAATTAATATTGTTTTCTCATGCAGATATATTTTGAGAGGAGGAGGAGTCCGGATGTGCACGGAAAAAGGTTGGAATGGGATGGACCCCATCTGTGAGGGTGAGTTTAACCCTTTGTCATGTTAAAATCATCACAAAGATTTACCTTATTTTTATTATAACACTCCAAAGTTTCTAACGGTCATGCTCCTCAAAATACTGTGAAAAAGTGTAATGCAGTAGCCGTTTCAACAGACTCTTACAGTGTATTAGATGTAAGAGGATTGTATGGAGGTAAATCCCTCTAAAGGCCGGCTTCCAAGATTTGTAGAAAACAAACTGGCTCTGCAGCTTAATGTTGCCCTCTCATGGTGGACTCTTGTAATTGATCGTCAGATGTCATGATTTTGGCACAATCAGTTGTTTTTTCCCCCCCTTCTGGTTTAGTGTCAAAGATCATCTGTTCAGCACCTGCTGTGGCAAACAGACAGATACAACCTGGAGAAAGGACACAGTTCGCACCCCAAGACATTGTAAACATCGTCTGCAGTGAGGGATTTGATCTGATTGGCTTGCCACAGGTCACATGTGGAAGAGACGGCCAATGGCAAGGCTTGCCTGTGTGCTCGAAAGGTATTTTATGGTGTTTTCACACTTGGTTTGAATGCTTAGTCTGAACCTGATTTCAACTCCACTTCTTCCTCCAATGATGCATTTCAAGAGATACAAAGAATTAATGCTGCTCTCTGAAAGCAGTTTCTTGAACTAAACTTCTAACTCTACTTCTAACTGCTAATTTAATAAATGTGTTGAATTTTAACATTGGATAGATGTTGAATTTTGTTTTGAAATGAAAACTGGGTTGATGCCAAAACCCAACGTTGGATTCACTGAAAGTTCTAACACTGGACAGGCGTTGAGTTTTGATTTGAAATGAAAATTGGGTTGATGTCAAAACCCAACGATGGATTTATATCAACTTCCATTATTGGACAGACATTGAGTTTTTGTTAGAAAAAAAAATTAGGTTGACCTCAAAACGTTTGCTCAATGTCAACATTGGAGAAACGTCGCATTTTGGTTAGAAAAAAGTACAGTTGTTGTCAAAAACATTGGATTTACTTAAACTTCAACCACTGGACAGACGTTGACTTTTGATTAAAAATGAAAATTGGGTTGATGTCAAAACCCAGCGTTGGATTTATATCAGCTTCCACCATTGAACAGATATTAAGTTCTGGTTAGAAATAAAAAATGGTTGATTTTAAAACTTCCACCATTGGACAGACCTTGATTTTTGGTTGGAAATGAAAATTGGGTTGACATCAAAGCCCAACGTTTACTTGATGTCAACCTCCAACAATGGATGGACATTGTGTTTTGGTTAGAGAAAAAAATGCGGTTGATGTCAAAACTCAACGTTGTATTTACTTAAACTTCCACCATTGGACAGACGTTGACTTTTGGTTTGAAATGAAAATTGGGTTGACATCAAAACCCAACGTCGGATTTATATCATCTTCCATTCCATCGGACAGATGCAATTTAATGATTTTTTTTTTTACTGATGATAAAATGGGTGAAAAAGGAGCACCTGTTTTTGAAGGAGTCATATTGTATATTTTTATTATTTATATTCCCCCCTGACATCCTCTTATAGTTTGAATGAAAATGTTCTACCCTCTCTATGACCTTTATTTGATCCTTTTTTTTTTTTTTTTGCTGCTGCTGCTGCTGCTTTTAAAGAAACAACCCATTTGTGAATGTGAATTGAGCAACAGTGCTGAAATGTTTTAGCAATTTAGTGTCAATAAATGCTTTTTTTGGACTGAGAAGAAAGTTTTTGTATATGTATGTGTTCATAGCACACACATTAAGTTCTGTTATCTTAAAACATATCTCTTTAAATGTATAGTGTAAAAATTCACTTCAATTCAGTCTTTCTGCTTTTTCCCCCCGCCTTTGCTGATGACCTCAAAAGGTCAGTTTTTGCTCAAGAGTTGCTATTCTCAAGACTTGTCACCCTCTTAATTTGGGAAAAAACTGGACAGTGATAGAGCAGAATTCTAATTACATGCTGAGAGAGTCCATATCTGTCACCTGCAATGAAGGATTCATCTGATCTGGAGTTTTCTGAACCATTGTATCACACACAAAAGCTGATCATCTTCAATATTATGAATACGGAGTCATTTTAACCTGATAACATTAACACCTTCAAAATTTCATCCTGATGAAGAAGAACATGTTCCTAAACAAATTCATGAACCCTCCAAATTGGAACTTTAAAACCTTAAATGTCACATAAAGACACATGCTTAAGATAAGAATGCCTGCATGCATGCATATGAATGCTAATTGTGTTTTTCGCTACAAATAAAAGCAATAAGAATATTTTCTACTCCTGTTCATTATCAGTGATGACCTGTTCAGCACCTGCTGTGGCAAACGGGAGGATAAGACCTGGATCTAGAGTGTACAAACCCAAAGACTCTGTAGACATCACCTGTAGTGAGGGCTTTGATCTGATTGGCCCAGCACAGGTCATGTGTGGACCAGACGGCCAATGGCAGGCCTTGCCTGAGTGTCGCCTGAAAAGGATTACAGGTACATTAGAAGTCTGTGTGTGTGTGTATATATATTTTGTTTTTAGCTTTTAAAGGGGTCATATGATGCGATTTCAAGTTTTCCTTTCTCTTTGGAGTGTTACAAGCTGATTGTGCATAGATAAGATCCCTGAAGTTGCAAAGACTAAAGTCTCAAAACCAAAGAGATATTCTTTATCAAAGTTAAGACTCTGCCACGCCCCCCTAAAACGGCTCGTTCTAACACGCCCCCACATATCTACCTCACTATGTGGAAATATTTGCATAATGCTGCCCAAATGTGCACGCAAAGAAAGAAGGCGTGGTTTCAGGAACATCAGTAGTGTTGATGCAGCCATGTCAGGGAGACCCTGTGTGTTTCTAGGCGAAAGCAAACACACTTTATTTGGCCTTCCGAAAGTAGATGCATTTAGGAATCTTTAGGATTACTTACAGCAGAACAGCAATGCATTTTATGGACGACCGTTTCGTGAACCTAGGAGAGGAGGTAATTCTGACTTTGCTATGACAATCTGGCGCTTCTGAATCAGCTACTGTTTTGTTATTAGTTTAAGTATTTGCTATTGACTGTTCAAATGCGGAGTTTTGCGCATAAATAATGTGTTTTTTGAACATTAAAGCATGTCAACATATTCTGTTACACCAAATACACAAAATAATGATCTTTAAAAAAGCATCATATGACCCCTTTAATGACAATTTTCTATCCTCTCTATGACCTTTATTTAATCCTTTTTTTTTTTTTTTTGCTGCTGCTGCTGCTCCTTTTTTAAGAAGCAACCCGTTCGTGAATGTGAAATGAGCAACAGTGCTAAAAAGTTTTAGCAATTTACTGTCATTAAATGCTCTTTTTGGACTGAGAAGAAAGTTCTTGTATATGTCGCCTGTGTGTTCTTTGTGTTCATAGCACACACATCAAGTTCTGTTATCTTAAAACTAGGGATGCACGCTATTGGATTCTTGCCGATATCCGATATGCCGATATTTTTCAACTCATTTTGGCCGATACCGATATATTTCCTTTTGTTTGGAAACAACACCATGCCTCTCCTGTGTGGAAATAAGCAAATTATTATTTTTTTAAATTTTGGTTAGTTTTTAACGAACTTATTTGTTAGAATTAAATAAGCAACAATGGAGTTCTTTTATAATGACAGTACATGGAAGCTTTGAAAATAACTATAAATAAACTATATATCAATCGCTGCATTTTTTTTCTTCAAAAAGATGCAGTAGTAACCTTAACATTTTATTTTAAGATTTAACATTTGTAGATGGTCTAAAGCAATATTATTAAAAAATATAACATATTACACATCAATGAATAAATCAGCATATATAAAATTATTAAATTTACAAGTGTCATGTTTGTGATTTTTTTTTAAAATTCATGTGAGCTATAGCTTCTGACCTTTAAATCAAAACATACTCATGATTTTACACAAACAGAAACACAGTCTAAATGTTATTTGTGTATTTTACTTTAATTTTATTAGAAGTAGGCCAACAGTGCCCCCTACGGAATTAAAACTCCTTACTGAGCGGGTATTAGGACCCGGGGGAGGCTGCCGCTGCACATGCTATTACTGTTTACTTTATCACACACGGAACTTAGGTGCAATTTCAGTTTAAATGCAGCGATCCAAAACAGTGAATCTAATCTTGCTTCAAGAATGAGCCACACTGCTGATGTGATCTAATCGCTAGCACACCCTGAGCACATACGAGTTAACGTATTCCTCTTATCGGCAAGACATATCGGCATAATTTTTCATATCGGGCCGATGCCGATATGTACATTTAAAGCCATTAATAAAAGCCGATAATATCGTGCATCCCTAATTAACACCTTCAAAATTTCATCCTGATGAAGAAGAACATGTTCCTAAACAAATTCATGAACCCTCCAAATTGGAACTTTCAAACCTTGAATGTCACATAAAGACAAATAAACTACAAATGAAAGCAATAAGATTTTTTTTGCTCCTGTTCATTATCAGTGATGACATGTTCAGCACCAGCTGTGGCAAACGGTAGGATAAGACCTGGATCTAGAGTGTACAAACCCAAAGACTCTGTAGACATCACCTGTAGTGAGGGCTTTGATCTGATTGGCCCAGCACAGGTCATGTGTGGACCAGACGGCCAATGGCAGGCCTTGCCTGAGTGTCGCCCGAAAAGGATTACAGGTACATTAAAAGTCTGTGTGTGTGTGTGTGTGTGTGTATGTATATATAGTCTCAGAAATAAATATGGTACTTTGGCATATTGAATACAGCTTGGTTCTCTCACAGATAAATGTGGTCCAGCTCCATCATACCCTCATGCTTTCCCCAGAGACGAGTCCTCCACGCTGAAAGAGTATCCGTCCGGTGCTCGCATTCGCTACAAATGCAGTATAGGATACGGGCGTGTCAGAGGAAGTACCAGTATACACTGCCAGAACGGCCAGTGGACAAACCTGCAGCTCCGATGTGAAAGTACGCCAGAAGACTTTTAACTTCATTTGCTCCCACTTTCTATACTGAAGAATCTAAGGATTATTAGTTGCAGAGAGAGCAACCATACATTTGTGGTGTTTTCTTTTGTTTTATTTAGTAATCATTTAATTATGTAATGCATTGAATAATATATTCATTTATCACATTTGTGACCCTGGACCACAAAACCAGTCATAAGGGTCAATTTTTCGAAATTGATATTTATACATCATCTGAAAGCTGAATAAATAAGCTTTCCTTTGATGTATAGGACAATATTTGGCTGAGATACAACTATTTGAAAATTTGGAATCTGAGGGTGCAAAAAAATCTAAATATTGAGAAAATCGCCTTTAAAGTTGTCTAAATTAAGTTCTTAGCGATGCATATTACTAATCAAAAATTAAGTTTTGATATATTTACGGTTGGAAATTTACAAAATATCTTCATGGAACATGATCTTTACTTAATATCCTAATGATTTTTGGCATAAAAGAAAAATCGATAATTTTGACCCATACAATGCACTGTTGGCTATTGCTACTAAATTGACCTGTGCGACTTAAGACTGGTTTTGTGGTCTAGAGTCACATATAATTTCATCATTTATTAATTTTTATTATATTACCTAGTTTTATCTGTTATTTGCCTTGCTCTTGCAATGCTTGCACTGCAAAAAAAAACAATTTCTTTCTCAGTATTTTTATCTTGTTTTTCAGTACAAAAAATTCTGGAATCAAGATATATTTACTTGAGAAGCAAAATAACTTAAGATATTAAGTCTTACCTAAAAAAAAAAAGATAAAAATTAAGTGACTTTTTGCTTAGAACAAGAAAAATGTATATCTGCAATGTATATCTGCAAATGTGGTCAGAAAAATACATTTAATTTAATTTTTTTTTTTTTCAAGTGTTTTGATGAATTTTTCAGAAAAAATACTTAATATAAAGTTATATAAAGTAATATAAATGTTGCTTCTCAAGTAAATGTATCTTGATTTAAGAATGTTTACTGTAGATATATGTACTGGAAAACAAGAGTACTGAGGAAGAAAATCATTTTTGAAGTGTGCTATTGTTTAATCTTATGATTTTGTGGTTTTAAGGGATATTTGTCTTCTAGAGTTAGATAAGGGAGAATGTCTGCTTTTCAAGGTTATTAACATCACAAGATGATGATGTGAAGCAGTCATTTTTGTTTATTCAGTAATCTGATAAAATAACACTTGTTGGATTTATGCAGGTCATGGCTTTTCTGATGTGTTGGAAGAATCTAACAATTTGTTTATATCAAAAGGGAAGAAATGTGGATCTGCTGGAGAGATTTTCAATGGCCAGTTCGAGTACACAGGCGTGTCATTTGGAGATTCGGCTACAGCCATCTGTCAAGAAGGGTGAGATACAGCAGCGGTTATAATACAAGTGCATTCTCACTTCTGTTTTTAGATGTAGAGGAGTTTGTTTCTTCACCAGATTTGGAGAAATGTAGCATTCCATCACTTGCTCACCAATGGATCCTCTGCAGTGAATGTGTGCCATCAGAACAAGAGTCCAAACAGCTGATAAAAACATCACAATAATCCACAAGTAATCCACACCACTCCAGTCCATCAGTTAACATCTTGAGAAGCCAAAAGCTGTGTCTTAATGATG